GGTTGGTGAATGAGGAAAGAGGTGAAGTGAGGGAGGGGAGAGGGGAGCTGCTGGGCTGTGGAGGCCCCAGCAAGTATGGGTATGGGTATGGGTGGGTGTGTGTTCTGGGGCTGGTGGGGGGTGCTGGGGCTGCGGTATGTGCGTGTGTGTCTGTGTGCTGGGCTGGAGGCTGGGGAGGGGCTTGTTGCTGCTAGAGAGCCAGTTGAGCAGCACAGTAATGGAGCAAACTTGCCAGCTATTAGCCATGTCCCTGCTCACTAGCTCCCTTGCAACAGGTCAGAGCTGTGTACATTACAGAAGGTTTTAACCCTGAACATTCAAGTGCTTGCAGCACATGTTAACTTTAACAACAACCTAATGACCTAAAGGTTTGCATGTGCTGTAACATGTTAGCAGCTGATGAGTGGTGTTAGCTCATGGTACCACTTGAAAGGCTAGCCAACTTGAGTTAAAAGCATCAGCATATTCAAGTTAAGGCTTTTTGTTTGTGGACAGGATATGTTGGGGAAATACATGAATTATAACAGAAGTTAACTTTGCAGTGAAGAAAAGCCCTTTTCCTTTCAAGGAGAACTTTCTCACATAAAAGGAGTGCCAGTAATGCAATACTTTTTAAATGGAGTACTGTATTTCCAGGTTAGATTACTGAAATGTGGGTGTCCCCTGAAGACCATTCAAAAGCTATAACTTGTGCAGAAGGCATTGGCTTGCCTGCTTCATGTAGTAAACTAGTACAAAACTGCCACACATGGGCACTGCCCCACATCCCCATGGTGTGCAATGCCAAGAGTTAATTTGAACACATAAAGCCATATTTGATAGTGAACTTGGCTATAACGGTAACTGAAGACTGAATCCCAGCTCAGTCCAAGTGAATGGCAAAACTTCCATTCCTTTCAATGGAGCCAGGATCCTTCCTTGTATTTATCTTTGTGTCCACTGTTGTGGCAACAGAACCAGATGACCTACTTCTGTTGATGGCCCTTGAGTTTGAAAAGCATGGTTAAATTCAGTGGAAAGTCATTGGCTATGAAACTCACTCCCCCTGCTGGTGCACCTAAGAACCCAGTTACTTAGTTTGGTACATGGTGCCAGACTCAAAATTTTTGGATAAACCTTTGAACAACTAGATCAAAAACTATAAAGACATTTTCTCTTTGTATGTTGGTTTGTTTTATGTTTTCCCCTCTTTTTCTGGTTGGCCAGGTGGCTCAAAGGAAGGTCAAAAGAGGGTTAACTGTGTTGCAAACTGTGGGCATTTAAACACTGACATTTTCCTTCCATACATAGTGGGTGCATCTACACATTCATTAATGTGCAGTGGCTACTGTGCATTTAATTTAGTGCTTGTATAATCAAGCACTAAAAAATGTGCAGTAACCAGAGTTACTGCGCAGTAGCGCCAGCGAATGCCTTTTTAGTGACACTTACTGAGCAGTAGCCTAATAATACTGCACAGTAGCATATCAGCACTGTCCATGCTGTGACGCGTAACTGCAGTGTTATTAGGCTATTGTTCAGGTAGTGTCTTGTGTAGACATGTGCAGTGTCTCTAGATGCCATACAGATGGACATATTATTTCTAAACTTAAAAGAATCTTAAGACTGTCTCAAAAGCTGACAGTAGATATTAGCAATATTCAGAAGCACCTAAGCCTTTAGGGTGACAAGTTCTTTAAAGACTAATTTAAATATTTCTCTAAAAATTTCTTTGGCACAAGTGTGCTCCCCTCCACCCCTGGTCTTTAGTGTGTCACTGCTTATATATAAATTAGAGATCTAAAACTATAGTATTGTTTGGCAACCTAGTCATTTTTCCTATAATAGTAAGAACAGAATTGTTCTTTGCGTTATATTTTTATAATACTTTACCTGATTCTGCAAAGACTTAAATATGTGCAAGGCTTCACTTGCAAGAACAGCCCCTTAAATCTGAGTGGGACTACTAAAAAAAGATAAATTAGCACATGCAGGATTAGCTGCAAAGAATCCAATTCTGCTAAAAGTCAAGTGCTATTAATTTCCATATATATCAGATCAGATCAACTCAAGCTGTGGAGTTCTCCATGTTGATCTCCTACACTGCATTTCCTGTTACCTTGAAAAGAATAAGTGTGAAGAACAGTATAACCGAAATGTAAGCAGATGCAAAGGGAGTAAGGATCTCTTAGCTAGATATTGGGGGACACGTTTTTCAAATCAGGAAGAAATAAAGCTCAATGAAATTCATGAATGATTTATTGCAGCTCCCCAAGTAATCACTCCCGACCACCATTAAGAATATAACTTTCCTTACAAAGAATTACACTTGGCTTCAAAGACAGGCCTTGTAACCTCCTTAATCTTTAATAGAGCCTGCAACAATTACTATAAGGTATTAAACTATCTACAAATTACATACCCTATGTGATTATCTCACTTTTCGATAGACATTTTTTGGGATCATAAATAACAGTAAAATTACCATAAAAGCTAATACTACTGTACTTAAAGAAAATCATTATGTAAAGGTTTATGAATTTTGCAGTCATTAATGGACGTAAGTTAATGGGCCATAGGCTTTCCAGAATATGATACCAGATATTTTTCAACCAATGAAACTTCCAGAGATACAAAAACCTTCAGAGGTCACCAACTTCAAAAATGAAAAAGAAAGTTATAGCTTTATACTAATGAGAATAAAAAAGAAGCACAAGCATGAAAGCAAATATCACATATGACAATGATTCTTTAAGTAGACCAGTAAAATAAGAAACTGAACTCTGACTCTTCAGTCCCATAGTATCAAAAGAGTCAGAATCAAAATATGCAAGATAAATAAAACAAGTTTTGAAAGAGCTTTTTCTCTAAACTAATGGGAGTGTGTCATGAACCCGACCCTAAACTAGGTTTGTGGGGTGTCATGAAGATTTTTTGGTGTTCATTTCACTGGCGTGTGGGGTCTCATTGGAGAGCCAATGTTATGATTTATCCAGTTATATCACTTTTATCACTGTATTGGTTATGTTACACCATCTGTATATATCTTTATTATTCTGGATATGGTTTAATCAAGGAAGGGGAGCGGGCACAACTACTAAATCTCTCTTACTATTGTGATACTAGGGCAAGTGCCACTCCCAAGTATAGACAGAAGAGGCAGGTAGAATGGGCACCCAAGTTATTGTCTGTCTGTAATGGGCAAATCAACTCCTCTATGACCCAACCACACTGAATGGATCCAGATCATGCCAGGACAAGAAATGCAAAACCTGCCAACACATCACCACCACCACAACAAAACCAACACCATTCCTGGATCTTACCTCCAGAAATGTTATATATCTCATCCAATGCACCAAATGCCTTTATGGAAAATATGTAGGAGAAACCAAACAACAACTGTGCACCAGAATGAATGCACACTGAAAATCTATCAAAGACAAGAATACCCAAGTACCTGTGGGGGCACACTTCTCACAAGACAACCACTCCCTCTCTGATCTCTCAGTTCTAATCCTCAAAGGAAACTTACAAAACACCTTTTATAGATGAGCCTACAAACTTCACTTCATAAATCTACTGGATACAAAAATTAATGGACTTAATATAGACATTGGATTTATAACACATTACATCTGAGTCATTACGTACCTGCCAGACCTGACCTCTTACATTTTTTCCTCTCCTCTCCTCCTTTTCTGCCCTTTATCTTCTTAATTTCCAGCTATTTCCCTTTTCACAGACAGCCTCTTTTCTACCTTGAATTACTACTATTGTAGAGTCCCCCTTACTCACCTTTGGTTTTTTTCCCCATCAGCCAGAAAATGTCAGGTGTCTTACAGAGAGACCTTCTGGAGGATTATGGAGATGCACGAGGAATTGGGGCAATGCTGAGGGAGGTGTGGCTTGGAGATATTATAAGGGCTGTTTGTAAGGCAGCCAGGGGCTTTTGATTTTTTCCTGGTTGGAGAAAGGTTCAAGGCCCCAGGACTCACAGCCAGGACTGGCAAAACTATCAGGAAGGCTGAGTTCTGGAGATACAGGTAGGACTCTCAGGAGGGCTAGGGAATAGCCAGGTATGAGGGTAAGCAACTTTATTTGTCTTTTTGTTCCGTCTCCACAACCCAAAAGGAAGGCCACTTAGGGTCGGCAGATTCCCCTGCTGCATCCGTGAGCTCTGGTATCTGGTGGAGCTGAGATCTGCAGGGGGAAGCAGTTATCTCAGGACAAACCTTGTTCTGTTTCTTGGTACAAGTGGCAGAACACTAGGGAGAAACATGTGGCTCTGGGGACACCCTGTAGATGGGTTTGTGACAGAAGATTGACCACATTCCTTGGTCATCTGTTTCAGTGGCACAGGTGTGTTCAACATACACACCTTTTCCTTCACTCTTGAGCCTCTATGTCTGGGAAGCTTCCTTCATAGAACAGCAGAAACATCTTCCACTTTCTACAGGGAAGTGAGAGTACCATGATACCATACAATGATCTTTTCTGCAACCACTCACAAGAATTTTTAGAAATGGACATGAAAGTAAATAATTGTGTTTTGTTAAATGATATAATAATAATATAACACACTACAGCACATGAAATAAGTTTCTGGTATCCCTTTTATTTTCAGCAGGACACTTACTCAATCTCTCCCCTCCAGTAAGGAGGTCAGAATGATCTACTTCTTTCCTCAATGCCGCTTGCACACAGAGGGTCAGTTCTATGTCTAGTATAATTAGATATGTCTCCGGTATCTTGGCTTATATAAATCAACACAGCTGAGTTAAAGATCTGGTCCCAAGAGGAAAGGTCAGGTCAGGAGACAGCAAGCACTTACTCACATTCAAGGTTTCCTGATTTGCCACCTTGCTACTGCCAAACCACTATGTATGTTGAAGCATTTAAAAGTAAGTTCTTACAACAAAAACTTCCTTCCAGATATGACTCTATTTACTTTTTAGTAATCAACTCCCAAAACATTTCACTTGATGTGTACAGCAATGCAGACTGTGAGCAATCCTTACCTGGCAAAACGCTACAGTTCTTCATGGAGCACTGATCGTTTTTTAACTCGTGCCGTTTGGATGTCATCTCAGATCTGTAGAATATTAAAACATGATAATATTGTCTCCAATCTTTAGGATATAAAAAACATGATAATGGCACCAAAATCATAGAAATATAGTGCAAAGAGCTCATGTGACAATGCAGGACTGTACCCTATACTACACTGGTATTTTCTAGCATTTAAATTAGTTTATAACCTTATTATAGCATATTTTCTAGCAGGGTTTTTACCAGATATCTCCATTTTAACTATCTCCATGTAATCAATAAAACCATCAACTAAACCTACATTTCAGAATCCCTTTTCAAGCTTTTGAAAAAAATATGCTAATTAAAAGGATGCAATAAACCTAGATTTAACAAATGAGTTTTAAAGTAATCCATGTATACTCCACTGGGCTTGAGTAGGGTACTGGCTAGAGAAAATATGAAGTAAAGATGTGCTTTAAACTAAGCTCCAATCCTACTTTCACTGAAATAATTGAGAGAACCTCCATTAATTAGCAGTGGTTCACACACCTATGTGCTTATAGGTATGGTGATATCCAGAATATTTTTATCACTCTGCAGTTACCTGATAGTAAAACTCATCCCTCATATAAACTGCAGGGCTTAGATGTTGATAAACTGAGTTTTACTTTATTCACTTTTCAAGGCTGGATTTAAAAATAAGTAATGATTCCAGTATTGTATTATCCAAAGAAATAAACTCCACAGTGAAGTCAAAGAGCTAGGAGAGCACCAATAAAGATTTTTTCGGCTGATACCAATGACTGATTATTAACCAGCCATATCGGCTGATACCGGTCTGATTGCTGATATGCAGCCCAGCAGCTTGGAGAGCAGTGCCCAGCCAGTAAGTGTTGGGGGAAGCAGAATTGGGGAGGGAAGGGGCACTGGGGGGACAGACTGAGCCTGCCACAATGAGGAAGGGGTGAAGGCAGGCTGCCTGCTGTGGGCTCAGGGCCAGGGGCTGCACCAGCCTCTTCCCAGTGGA